CATTACCACTCAGAATATCTGAAATCAATTTCTGCACATCCACATCTTCCTTCCACGAAATTTTGATCCTCTCAAACAACTCAGATTGCAACTCATGAACATGTAGGGACTGACATTCTACCACTTCCAGTCTAGATAATGCATCTGCTACCACATTGTCTCTTCCTTGCCTATAATCAATGGTAAAGTTGAACTCCATGAGTTTAACTAACCATTTTTGCTGGAAAGCAGTCACCAACTGCTACTCCAATATGTACTTAAGACTGAGATGATCAGTCTTAATGACAAATGGTCTACCAATCAAATAGTGTCTCCATTTCTGGACAGCAAACACTACAGCCAATAACTCTTTCTCATAAGTTGAAAGGGATTGTTGCTGCTGATTGAGTGCCCTGCTGATGAAGGCAACTGGGTGCAGATCCTGCATAAGCACTGCTCCTAGCCCCACCCCTGAAGCATCAACTTCTAAATCAAAAGTTTACTGAAATTTGGCAAAGCCAAGACTGGTGCTTGAGTCAACAAATCCTTGAGCAACTGGAATGCATCTCTGGCTTCATCAGTCCAAGCAAAGTTGTCTTTTTTGAGCATACTAGTCAGAGGTTTAGCTACCACTCCATAGTTCCTTACAAACCTCCTGTAATATCCAATTAAACCCAAGAATCCCCTCAACTGTTTGATATTTTGAGGAAGAGGCCAATTCCTCACAGCTGCCACCTTACCAGGATCAGTGGATACTCCCTCTTTGGAAATGAAATGTACAAGATATTCTACCTTCTCCACAGCAAAGAAACACTTGCTTCTTCTAGCAAAAAGAGAATGTTTCCTCATTGTGAGCAACACCTGCTGAACATGCTCCTTCAAACTGCTATTATACACCAATATGTCATCAAAGAGTACTAATAGGAATTTCCTTAAGAATTCCTGAAATACAGAATTCATAAGACCTTGGAAGGTTGTTGGAGCATTAGTAAGGCCAAATGGCATTACTAAGTACTCGTAGTGACCTCCGTAAGTCCTAAATGTTGTCTTATGCACCTCAGCAGGATCTATCCGTACCTAATTATAACCTGACCTCAAGTCCACTTTAGAGAAAATGGTAGAACCATTCAATTCATCCAGTAGGTCTTCTACTAAGGGAATGGGTAAGTCATCTATAACATCCTTCTGATTCTTGGCATACCTGTAAGGATTCTTGTTTACCAGATCAGCTCCTTGCATCAAGGGAATCTTGTGGTCAAAACCTTTTCTAAAAGGAGGTAATTGACTAGGTTCTTCAAAAAGATCAGCAAACTCTTCCAACAGTGATTCAATCTCAGTAGGGAACTTCTCATTATCAGCATGAGTTGTCAAGGAATGTAGCAATCCACCATCCATACCGCATAGTTGGAGCATGGACAAATGAACCCCTTCCTCAAAAGTTTTTCTCATCTGCTTCCTCTTAACAGTTGAAACAGAAGAGGTTGCCCCTCTTAAAACCTGCCTTTTCCCTCCAACATTAAACTCCATGCTGAGTTTGTTGAAGTTCCAAGTGATGTCCCCTAGGGTGATCAACCATTCTATTCCCAATACTAAGTCACAACACCCCAATGGCAGCAACATCATATCAGATGTGAATGTGGACTGTTGAATAGTCCAAGAAAAGTTTCTTACAATTGAAGTAATCTGAATTCTATGCCATCAGCTACCACCACACTTATAGGATCCAACTGATCAATTCTGCACCCAAACCTTTTCGCTACTTCAGCATCCAAAAAATTGTGGGTTGAACCACTATCAATCAGTATGTGTAACGGTTTCTTTCTGAAATATCCTGTCACCCTCATAGTCTGGAAGTTAGCAACTCTAGTCAAAGCATGCACTAAGATTTGAGGAAACTCCGTAGAATCTTCCTCTCCCCCATCAACAATAGAGATGGCCTCATCCTAAACCACTTCTCCTTCTTCCTCCTCAACAGAATCCACTTCTAACACATGAACCTGTAACTTCTTGTAGTTAAACTGTGCTCAGGAGTATAGGGCTGATCACAGAAATAACAGAGCCCTTTAGATCTTCTTTCACTCATGAATGCAAGAGTAAGGCTTTTGTACAGTTTCTGTGATGACTTATCAGGCAAGGCAACAGCAGTAGAAGGTCTTGCAGCAATTATAGGCTTAGAATTACTTGCAGGCCTGTTGGATTTTGACATTGCAGTAGCATTAACAGAAGAATTACTCGCATTTTCATATATTCTAGCCAGTGTAAAGGCTCTAGTCACTGATTGTGGTTGGAACATTCTCACCAGCATCTGAACATCATTTTTCAAACCACCCAGAAAACAGCTTAACATGTATTCATCAGAAAGATTCAAACGATTAACTACGGCATCAAACCTCTCATGATAGTCACAAACAGAAGAAGTTTGCCTTAACCTCATCAATTCCGCCATGGGATCATCACATACGGGGCCAAAACGATCAATCAAAAGCCTAGTGTATTCATTCTAAGAAAGATTCGGCCGAGCAACAGAATTCTTAGCAAAGGCAGTGTGCCATTGAAGAGCCTTTCCTTCGAGATGTATGATTGCCAATCGAACCTTGTGTTTGTCTGCTGTGCCATCCACCAAGAAGTAATTCTCACACTGGTAGATCCAAAGATTCACGGCTTCATCGTTGAATCAAGGGAAATCGATGCGAGCCAATCGAGTTCCACACAGGTACGTTGAAGACGAAGGTGGAGGACGATTCCCAATCAGCGTGTTGTTCCTGATTGCATCCTGAACTTGCGTTTGCAAAGAGTCTCCCAACATGCGTTGCAGCGACCCCGCGATCTCCACCAAACGCCCCTCCAATCGCGCCGCCAAACGATCCTCCATGTCTTTCATGGAAGCTTGAGAATGAGTTGATTCCGCCATAACCGTACGAAGAAGATTCCCCAGAAGGTTGAGGCTGATACCACTTGTTAGGGATTTTAGTTCTAGGAATTACAAAGAAATCGAAGAACTAGAGATGAGAAAGGGAACTCTGAAAACAGAGAAAGAGTTCCGATATTATTGATACAGAAATGAGATACAAGGATTATTCATGAAAGCTGAATTCCTCTCAACCAAGCTACTTATAGCAATTAACCTTCCTAACAGAATTGATTATTGCTAACTACTTGTAAACCGAAAAACCATAACAGATCATTACATTGCTGGTACCAGTAGAATTGTACCCTCAATCTGCTTTTGGAGTGGGTCTATTATCCTATGTACCAAAACTGTAAGGGATATAAGGCTTTACTGTTGTTGTAATTGTTAGCTCCAAATCATCAAATAGTGGTTTGGTGTCCTTTATCTTTCCCTGTGATCCTACTATAATATCAAAAAACATAATCGTAAGCATAGTAGTCAATCCCAAATAACAGCGCAAAGCGGCCAACCCCAAAAACACTATAGTGGGAAAACAAATAATGCAATGACCATTATTCTGAAGATTTGATATACACCTAATATAGATTATGCTACACGTGTGGTCTCACTAGAAAAAGTCCCCATTGCAAATGGTCTCATCGGAAAATGTGTGGGTCTCCCTAGAAATGTAGGTGATCTAGATTTTGGCCAAAAAACAACCCCTAACGCATCCAAAATGAGTAGATCTCGCCAAAGATGAAGACAACTAGGACTTGGTGAGAAATGGTGACACTAGATTTTGGGCAAAAAATGTGAAGCTTGTCGATGAAGCAAAAGTTGCTGCTAGAGAAGGTAAATGGGAGCACCTAGGATTCAAGAATGCTGTGTTTGAATGATACAACGACGTGCAAAAAATGATAATGTAAGAGGATGAGGGGGGAAGGAAAAATCCCAAGATTACCCCCCTTAACAGCCTTTAATGTTTAGAAAACAAGGGTAAATCTGACATTTTTGTTGTGCATCAGATATTGATCGCAATAGCCATGGTTTTCCGCAATTTTGACCACAATTAATGTGCTGCAACCACAACACTTAAACTTTGTGTTACTGAAGGGAGCCACGCTGCTAAAGCTTGCACTTGGTGTCGTGGCAAGGAGCCACTCTGCTGATTTAGCACTGCTATCATGTGCTATTAACTACTACGGTGGTAAGAACTATTTCAATTGGACTCCATGCGTCAGCAAAGACATGACAGATCTAACACACATTGAGTGCCCAGGCATGACAGCTTCTATGGCAATGGCATTGGAAGAGAAGAATTATCTCCAAATTCTAAAACAAGTTGTATTATATCATTGATACTTGACAAAGAATAAAACTGGGTCAACCTCCTTGATGGTGGGTTGGAGTAAAAATTAGGGCTCCTAGGCCTTTCCGCTGTAGTACAAACTTGAAAAAGAGAACAAAGACTAAACACAACATAATCTATACAGAGAGACTCCCATAATTCAGGAAAGAAAAATACAAAAATCAGCAAAATTTTCTATCTAATTAGCCTAACTATATATAACATAATAGCATAAATACAACAATATTGTCATGATTGATCCATATAAAAGATTTCAACAAGTTTTACGTTGGCTGTCAAAGGCCCAACACAACCCTCATCCTTTACCCAGGTTTGGGACCAGCAATAGTTACAATACAATTAAGGAAATAATCTCAATCCTAATATAATCTCGACAAATCTTAACACCTATCATAGGGAGAGTTATAAAAACAATGCTTGTTACCATGTAGAGGAGTTTCCATAAACAGAAAGACTTGACAAGGACAGATGCAAAATATGAAAGTGAATGGAAATAAAAGGTATATTAAGCATATAAATGATACTATCCAACAACATAAGAGGATGATATTAGCCCATAATAGATTTCAAAAAAAACCAAGGTTATTTAAGCCATCTGCAGACTTCTTCACATTTGAACCAGCAACCTTTATCAGGTTCGTCATGGAAGTCCTACAAGGCTACAACTTCAACGAACTTACAGGATTTACAGATTTGGTACTGTGATCTTCTACCATAATCATATTTGAATGTGAATAAGAGTATTGAACTAGATTATCTTACCACAGCCTTGCAGTGTAAGAACAGCCAATCGTGAGGACAATTATCCAGTAAGTATATAGAGTCCTTTGTTTCTGCCACTGGGAAGAAGCATATGCAGTTGAAAGAAACATAAAACTAATAAACCATTCCAACAGGAAAGAAAAAGTCGCAAAACAAGAAATATTCTTACAATTCCCAAGACCTCCCCATCCTTTATTGATGATGCCCCTCTGTCCAGTGTTCTCCAGTGCATCTACAATTATTTGTGTCATTTTTTTTGGTTCTTGAACAGGCTGTAGTAAAAACGTGAGAGAAAGTCAGAAATATAGTAGAGAGTAAAGATAAAAAAAACATTAATGTTTATAGAAAAAGAAATACAATGAAAAAGATGAGACCAGAAAGGAGGATAAAACATTCTCCAAAAGAAAATTACAAGAGAAAATTACAAAGAACCAGCAAGCTGAAGGACACTGGATCAGAAACTAAAAAGGAAATGAATTTTAATGAATAATCAGCATTCTGAATAACCCTATGCTCCCCAACTCTCTAAGTGTACAATCCCTTCTCAAAATGACAAATAGCTGACAGAACATGTTAGGTATCAAGTAAAACTGAAGAGGAAGTCAGCAAAAATGCAGTATTTATACAGGTCTGAAGTGAAGACCACTTACACCAGATCCTGAAGTATAGAGAAGTGTTTACAATATAGAGACTGCAAGGAAAAAAGAAAAATCCTTTGGCACTTCAAGAGGCCTAAACTCTCCCAGGTCTCAATTCTACTAGTTCCAGCCAGAAACCTCCCCTTTTACCACTCCCCTCTTTTATCCCTCCTTACCCCTACCATGCATGCTACTGCTAAGCAAGTGGTTACCTCTTTCTCTCTCTCTCTCTTACATATGATCAGGTGCATCGCACCTTTGAGCCCCTAACATATACTTTAGTAATAGTATGACCCTTTAGGCCCATATCAGAACTCTATTGATCAATTGATAGGAATTGCATTTGTTGGAGATCAGATCCTTCTGTCCAGATTTGGTGAATTAGATCAGAATTAATCAGCCTATACTGAAGGAAATTATTCTTTGCTTTATTTTGCTGATTTTATTATCTTTATGATAGGATTGGACAATTGTATGATACTTAAAATAGAATGATGTAAATATGGAGTTAGAGGCAGATAGGATTTTTTTAGGAATCTGATTATTTGTTTCCTTTACCACTCAGTCTGTATATACAGACTTTGTTGTAACCTATTTTGATCGGGAAATGAAAGGTCCCATGGTAGTCAAATTGAGATTCTACATAAGATCGGAGAGGGGGTCAAAGATCATAACTTGTAAGATCGTAACACTGATTGTCAGATATAAGATAGTATAAATATGAAGATGGGGAAAGCAAAACAAAGACAGATGAGGAAAGGGAGCCACCCTCAAAACTGCTTTGTTCCGGGGGATAGAAATGGAAAGTCAACATTTTAACTCTAACGGCACTGTTGTGTGGTACAGGAACAGCACCCACCCACAGTGCAGCAGAAGATGAAGCATAAAAATAGAGAAGAAAACAATAACAGAACAGAAAACCCAAAAGTGAGAAGAGGTCGCGCAGCAGAACGAAAATGCTGGAGCAGACAAGGTCGCCAGAGCAGTCTCATCAGTGCAAAACAGGGTCGTCATTTAAAGTCAAATGAAATCACAGAGCAGAGGAAACCAAAAGGAAAGCAAGTTCTGAATCGATTTTAAGGTTTCAATAGGTTTTTAGCAAAATCAGGTCACAAAATGGGTCATGGGTCACTGGGTAAAATTTCAAGTTTTAAACATGGTGGGGTTTTATGATCCCGCATGACGATCCCACCCAACCTCGCTGTTTTTTATCCTGCAACCAAGCAGCACAGAGACAGCAATGAAGATCGTAAAATCATGTAATCATATGATTTTGCGAGTTAGCATGCAATTTTAACTACCATGAATGGTACCATTCTACATGGCATCATAGCACAATTTGATTTAGGTGTGGGTTCCTTTGATTTCATCCATGGCAGACGAGGCCACTTACCCAAAAGCTAAGGCAAGAGAGGGCCAAACCAATGTTCCAAACCTGACCAAACCAACAATTCTACCAATTACTGACCACAAGTTGAATGGCTAGAACTACACTCAATATGCTAGATCAGTCAAAATTTACCTTCAAGGGCAGGGAAAAGAGTAGTACACTACTGCAGAGTCCAAGAAACCAAAAACACTTTTTGAAACTACCCCTTTTTTCTCCTCCTCTACTATTATTTATGTCAATTTCACAGCAGACCCTCTTGTTATTCCTCCTATTGTTCCAGCTCCTATCCCTGCTTCTTCTCCACCTCCTTTGCTCACACACCAGTGACAGCCTCAGGTTTCAACAATTCTTTCCTCCACTAATCCTCCAGTCTCATCTCCAGCTCCAATCACCCCTCCATCCACATCGCCTGCACCTGAACTTCCCATTGCTCCACAAAAAGGTATTTGGTCCTCTCATAATCCTAATCCTCTTTATGCTTGTACTTTTAATTATGACCATTTATCTCCCTCTTATTTTTCCTTAGTCTCTTTGTTGAATTATGTGTCTATTTCTAAGTCTACAGGCGAAGCCATGGCTGATCCTCATTGTCATCGGGCAATGGTAGATGTGATGACTGCTTTGCACTCTAGTGATACTTGAAATCTTGTTCCCTCACCACCATCCAAGTCCATTGTTGGCCGTTGATGAATCATATTATATTGATACTTTAATATCCTTAATACTACTTTTTGATACTATTTCTATGATTACTTCATTGTTTTAGGCTAATTTTATTTGTTTAGGCCTATTTAGGCCATAACTAGTAATTTTACCTAATTCTTGCATTTTAGTACTTTTGATATTTGCTCACTATTGTAGTCATAACATTTGATGCAAGTGGAGTTTTTCAATGATTCTTGTTACGTTAGAAAGCTAGCTTAAAGAGCTTTCATTTAACACCTCATTTGCTAGATTTGGAGTTTTGACCAAAAAGTTACAAGCATCTGAAGTCACTAGTTTGTTATTAGGATTTGGGCCCAATTATGCTGTGACTCATTTTACTTTCTGAACTTATTAGCTTAAGTTTATTTTAGAGTTAGCCTCTATATAAAGAGAGGAAATTGGAGGAATTAGAGACCCTTTTTTACTTTCTTCCTTTTTACATTTATGTTATTTTCAATTTGGAGTTTAATTCAGTTCTTTCTTGTTTCTCCTCTTTCTTCTTGCACATCTGTTTTATCTTTCTCATGATAATTGCCCTTAAACCTGTGTTTGTGTTTACAATTGTAGTAGAGGAGTAATTCCATAGATTGATCTACGAATTCAATCCCGCAAAGCAACAAAGTAATGTTCTCTATTTTAATCCAATTCGAAATTTTACTATTTACCTTCTCAATTTTGTCACAAGTACTTTTAATTCGCTCTCAAATCATGTTGATTGGATTGCAAATAATTTGCTCATGTCAAATTCATTACTCGTGCAATCTCAAAACATTCCTTTGTGTAATTCAGACTTTTGAGAACGAATTAAGAAGAACCATATCAAATTGACCGAAGACGTGTGTTCAATGATCATTCAAGGAATTCAAATTAAAGACGTGTTTTAAGCTGCTAGGGACGCATCTTAAGATAAGTACAGCCTATCACCCACAACCCGATGGCCAAACAGAGGCAGTCAATTGTTGTTTGGAGACACTTTTGAGGTGCTTCATAGCTGACCAGCCAACGCTGTAGGCACAATGGCTATCTTGGGCTGAATATTGGTATAATACCAATTTTCATGCATCTACGGGACCACTCCTTTTGAGGAGGTTTATGGAAGGAAACCTCAGTTGCTAACAAGATTTGTGCCTAGGGAAGTGCAAGTGGAAGCTTTTCACAAAGAGCTGTTAGAAAGAGATGAAGCACTCAAACAATTGAAATACCAATTACAAAGAGCTCAAGCTTGCATGAAGGATCAAGTAGATCATAAAAGGAAGGATAGGTAGTTTGAAGCAGGCGAGTGGGTCTTCTTAAAATTGAGGCCTCATGGACAGTTGACTTTGGGAGCTAGGATTCATCCTAAATTAGCTCCTCGTTATTATGGTCCCTTCAAGGTGTTGGCAAAAGTAGGAGTTGTGGCATACAAACTGTACTTACCTGAACCTGCAAGGATCCATCCTGTTTTTCATGTCTCACTCCTTGAAAAGGCTGTGGGTGATTACAATATTGAGGAGACACTTCCATTGGATTTAGCTACAAATTCTGAAATTCCTGTTGAGCCTGAGGCAGTGCTTGCTAAATGTGTTATCAAGAAACGTGGAGCAAGGCTCAGTCAAGTACTAATACAGTGGAAGGGACAAGGTATGGAAGAGGCAACATGAGAAGAGGAGTTCAACATCAGAAGTCAATTTCTCCACTTGAGACTTGAGGAGAAGTCTCATTTTGAAGAAGGGAGCATTGATAGGAGAGGAAATGTGGGCTTAGACCGTGAGGAAAGGCCCAAGGTATGGAGAGTGTATGTAAGGAGAAACCCCGAGGTAAGGATAGAGAAGGTGAGGTGGCAGGAGTTGTAACAGAATTGCCAAACAGTGAGGAATAAAGATTTGGTATATAGGGGATGAGTAGGAAAGAGAGAGAGAGCGGGTTTTTTTACGGGAAAATTCTGTTATGGGCAGAGGGCAGTAGCCTTTCTTAAGGAGCTTTGCTCTGTGGCAGTGGGATTGTATTTACTTCTGTATTGCTTTCTTTTATGTCAAATAATATATCATTCTCAGATCTTTTCAGTCAATTCTGTAGTCTATTTTCTGGTTTCTAACAGTGTTGCTCTTGCAATTAGAAGTCAGGCTAATCTGTGTGTTTCTTAAAATCTTATTAACTATGTATTAAAAATTTAAAATAAGGGAAATGTTAATAAATGTCTTCAGAGCAGTAGTTAAAAAATAATAAAAATTATTGAAAAATATAATAATGTACTCATCTTGTAAATTTTTATACATTTTAATATAAATTTTAATACAAATTTAGTATTTTTTTAACTACTGTCTAAAAATATTAAATAAAATAATACCACATTTATAAAAATATTTGAATTTGAAGACAAATATGTTATGGCAGCAGCTGCTTGTAAACTTGCATGGCTTAGGTAACTACTTCAATAGTTAAAATTAGGAGATAATCAGGAGACGAAGCTTCTCTGTGATAATCAAGCATCTTCCATGAATGAACTAAACATAGAAACAGATTGTCATTTCATAAGAGAAAAGGTGTTTTCAGGAGAAATTGTAGCTGATTTTGTCAGCTCTAGTGATCAATTGGCTGACAGGTTTACCAAGTCCCTTAGAGGCTTTTGTGTTAACTACATTTGTAACAAGCTTAGATCATATGACATATATGCTCCAACTTGAGGGAGAGTGTTAGATGATAATCATGGATATGATTAGACCTTCCAAAATTAGCTCGTAGGAGAAGGGTTGACCAACCACATTAAAAAATATGTTTCATGCAATTACCTTCTCATCAACAAATAATTAGTTAAAATCAATTGAAGACTATCTTTAACATACATTAAGAAAATAAATATATAATGGGAAAAATATACTCACCAGGCTACCAAATCCAATGTAAATAGGCTTGTCACCATCTTTAAGCCATTTTACAAGGGTCTCAGGAGGTTCATAGTTTGATGCAAGATCAAGAAAGCAAAACCCTACTACATCAATTTTTGGTCCCCAATCTGCAAACCAGAAGAGATCAAATGCTTCAACCAAGAATCAAGTAACAGGAAGTAGCATTGGTGGCTATCTTAAGCCCTAGACATACCTTTGTCCATAGCAAATAATCAAAAGAAAATATTGAGAAAATACTTACAATTCTTACATTATTGTACAAAAATACCATATTATTTTCTTAAGTTTCCATAGGAAACAGTGAAAACAAAAGTTCAAGATTGAGCATTTTTTTCATTAATCACAGAGATCAATGAAAAATAATGACATGCATATAAGTACAAATTACATATAAAAATCAAGGGACAATACTCCACCATATTATGAAAACGTCACTAAGTGAACTTGCTCTAACAATGACTACAAGTGTGAAGATTGGGATCTAAAGCAGCACCTTTTGGTTTAGGAACAAGATGAGGACTCCATATATATGCATGTGGAACATCAGTTTCAGAGCCTTGTGACCCACTTAAATATGTCACTGGTCGTAGCTTCAACTTTTTTTTCCTAAGATCATTAATCATGTCTCGTATTCCAAGCCAAATCAGGGAGTCAACTATTTGATATGAAAGCTGAAGACAAATAAACGACACACATTTAGTTAAACATGAAGGCAAAAAATTAGGATGGATGAAAAGAAACAACACAGAATGAAAGAACTAACCCGATAACCAGCCTGTTGCTTTACACGTGACAAAGGATGTGGAAATTCAGTAGTTGGCCTGCAGGGAGGGGGCAATATGATAAAGTACATAAAATGGAGAATTCAATCACCAAGAAAACAAAAACAAACACAATCAATAATTAAAAGACTAAAAGAAAAAATATTAAACGCAAAAATAACTTAAAGAAAATTTGAAGTACATTAACAAAAAGAAACTTACGTCCATGGCATTGTGAAAAAAATATGAATTGGAATCTTAAGTGCCTCAGCCACATGGGTATGCCCTAAAGATGTATCAATGCCAATGGCAAAGTACACAAAAATATGCATCAAACAGTAATATTTGCTAATCTCAATAGAAAAGTAACAGCAAAGAATTACTAAAAAGAAACATGAAAGAAAAATACTACTATCAGAAATAGTAACCCAATAGTTAGAAAGTGGAATGCAAAATATTCTTTGGTGAACTAAAAACCACAAGCTTTCCATTCATGTACACTTTCTCACGTAAATTTCAATGAAGAAAGGCATGAGACATGTTATTAGGATTCCACATCAACTATAGATATAACTAAAGTAGAGTATATAATGGTTAAGCCAATTTTCTCCTTAAGACCTAGCTTCTGGGATTGAGTTATATCCAAGCCCAAAAAGCTAACTTATGAAATGAGGATTGTATTAACATTTATAAGCTCTACTTTGGCCATTTTTATAGTCGATATGGAATCTCAATAAACACTTTTACACTAAAGCTTATATATCTCGAGTGTAAAAATTGTAGAATTATTTAATTTCTAATTGAACTAGCAAAGTTGTGGAACCAGATAGACTGCACTAGGAAAACCTCAGCACCAAATAAATTGTATTGCAAAATTCAGGGGCCCAAATTAATTCCATTGGGAAAATCTGTTTGCCCAAGTTAATTGTAGTCAAGGATGGCCCAAAATCAAATCTACGATAGGCTATGATACCAGCTTAAATTTGGGTTTGGGCTTAATTCAACCATAAAAACTAGCTTGTAACTTGAGGATTGTCTTAACATTTATAAACTCTGACTATATCTGTAGTCAAAATGGGATCCCCACAATTTAAGATGGTAAAGTGCCTATTGTAAATTCAGAATTGGGTCACTCTTGATTGTAAAAAGTATATGGCCCCACGAATTTTCCTAGAACAATTTACTTAACCCACAACTTTCCCAATGAGGCTATCTGGCAATGCAACTTTCCTAGTAAAATTTTAAAAAAAAAAAAAGTCCTACAATCTCCATACTCCAGATATCCAATCATGAGCATGAAATGGTGTACTAAGATTTCACACTGACTACAAATATGGCTAAAGTTTACAATGGTTAAGACAATCCACATCTTACGAGCCAACTCTTGAGGTTGATTCAGGTCGAAGCCCAAATTCAAGAATCGTTGTCCCAATCCTACCCAAAATTTTGACAAGGAAATGTTTTTGAACTCAATCAATACCCAATAAGATTGGGTTGCTTATTGGGTCAACACGATTTACAAATAAAATATATGAATACTAACATTATTTACAGGTAGATTATAAAATTAATGAAAAATAAAACTAAAATTAAGATATATTTTACAGTATATATTTTAAAATGAATAAAATATTAATATAAATATATTATATCATGATATACAAGATATTATATAATGTCCTTACGTATTATTAGTATTACATAGCTGCTTAAAAAATTAAAATTTTAAAAGAAAAAATGATATCGAGCCAGGTTGAGACAACCCAAAATATAAACTCAGCTCATTCTCAAAATATACCAGGTCTAATTTTGAAAACCATGACCCATCAAAATTATCATCAGGCCAAGACAGATTGGTTGGACAGGCCAAGTTCTATACAGCCTCTTTAAATCAATTTAATAAAGAGACCAATAGAAAATGGAAGCCATGGCTAGAAATAAACAAATATAAGCTATCTATGCTACTAGATACAAATTGTTAGTGTAATCAAAGACCAAAAGGCTCTTCATGCAAGTTTTGGTCTGAAGTAATCTCTATGTGCTTGGTTTCGTTGCTTTAGTGCGATTATATAGGCCTTCAGTGCGACAAAAACTATAATCAGTCATTTTGGTTTTCTACCAATGCCAATCTATTGATCAACACATTTCCATACAGACAACAATCACAAGGTAGTCAAAATCGCGATTTAGCACATAAGATCGTACAATTTTTCAATTCGCTGCTGTGAAGTGATCCCAATCCTGGGCTGTGGCTTGTTCTGGTGGGATCGCATGATCAAAATTTTCAAAAAGCCCAATTAAACCCATTTGAACTACCCATTTTATTTTAACCTGACTTATATAACCTGAGTGTTTAGGGTTTTTTCCAAACACTTCTCTTCAATTTCACCTCTCTGCAACCTCCAACTGTGTTTCTCTTCATCATTGACATTGTATGAGTCCGTTCTCTACCCTTCTCTCCTTCAAATTCCCTTTTCCTCCATCATTTATGGAATGCATGTGAGCGTGACTGGTATAATTGTGTTGGTTCCTCTGCATGACTGCATGTGAGGATGACTGGGTGGGTACTAGGTTCTCTTCTCTGCATCTATTTCTTCGGTGTTGATTGTTGTTGTACCCAAGGTAATTAAAATCCCAATTTGAATCGTAAATCCTACGATTTTACAATTTTGGAAGTCTTACCAATTTAATTAGTGGGTAAAATTGTGGTTGAGTGAAATCATTGTAAAATTTCAATTTAAATAGTAAATCCCTCAAATCATGGGATTTCACGATTTCATTTCAATTTTGAAAATTCCTCACAAAGCCTCATTTTTTGAACTCTATCGTAGCTGACGCCTCTTTCATATATCTCCTTTTTATTGAAACCAATTTGCCTCTAGCAGCTTTGAACCCTAACATTGTTGTCACATTCAACAGTCCTCCTAGTGTGTGCAGCCGGGTCTGCAACTAAACCCACACTGCTCTGAGCTCAAGTCTAGTGCTGGTGTTCTTGCATCTTTTCTGTTCTAGTCTATTTTTTACTCATGTCGATGCATTATATTCTTATGGAATAAATTATGATTTGTGAGTGCTACTTTGTTTAAGTGCTTTTACTAATTTAAAGGTTTTTCCCCCTAATTTATGATATTTTATATGAATAATATGAATTTATATCATATATATGAATTTTATAAAATCTTGCAATTAGATTTGCAATTTTCACTCTCCTTTAAGATTTAAAGTAAAATCCCAATTTTAACTACCTTGGCTGTACCTGCAAGTTTTGAGTTGCTCCTGGGTGTTGGTCAAGTAGTCTGTGAGTACGTCTTGCAAATACGTGCTGGGAGTTCAAATACAACCCCCTCTCTCTCCATTCTCTCTTGTATTTGACTCCATTTTGTTTATTATTATGCATCTTTGTTTCTGATTCTTTTTTCTAGTTGCATGTTTCCAAGTCCTTTTTTTGGTTCAGCATTTGCCTATCTTTTCCAAGTCCTTTCTAGTTGCATAACTTTACTCAAGGTATAAATTTAATTAGATTTAATTAGACCTGCAACTACACGTTTTGCAATTTCTTACTTGACTTTGGGATGCTTGCATGATTATAAAGGATCATTATGGAGAATGCTTACATCCAAAAAATGGAAGGATAGTAAGTTTACCAAAATGAAGGATGGAATATATTTTGAATTGTTTAAGGGGGTGCTTATCCCTTAATTAGAATGTTGCATATAGTGGATTCAGAGGACAAGCCAACCATGGATTTCATTTATGAGGAAATGGATCAAGCCAAGGAGCAGATTCAAACCAACTTCAATGGTATTAAAAAAGGGTATATAAGACTCTAGTTTAATTTGATAATTTATAGCTTTGATTTGAAAACTCTTTTTTTTTTTTTTTTCATTCTTTAATCTCTAGTTTCATGTCACTATGGGAGATCATTGATGAAAGATGGGACAACCAATTGCATAGACCTGTGCATGCCACAGGCTACTACCTTAACCCAATTTTGCATTATGCTTCAAACTTTGAAGCTGATTTTGAAGTTAAGCGTGGATTATATTAGTGTTTAGAAAGAATGGTAGAAAACATGGATGAAGTGAATAAGAATAATAGTCCACTAGAGTATTTCAAAGCTAAAAAAGGATATTTTGGTACAAAATTAGCAATTACTGGAATGAAAGTGAAAACTCCAGCAGAATGGTGGGAATCTTATGGTAGAGAATATCAAGAGTTACAAAGATTTGTCATTCATGTATTGAACTTGACATGTAGCTCATCTGGTTGTGAGTGTATAGAGTGCTTTTGAAATGGTAAGTAAGTTATTTCTTAAAACTACCAAGTGGACTACTTTAATTATTGTGTTAAATTATTAATTAATGTTGTTGATTTTTAGATTCACACGAAGAAAAGAAATCGTTTAAAGCAAAAAACAATGAATGATGTTATATTTGTCATGGCAAACTCAAAATTAAGCAATAGTATCAAGAGGAAGAAAGAGCCTAACTTTGACATTGAGGATGTTGCTTCTGACGATGACTAGATTGTAGAGGAGAAGAATGAGCTAATATCATATATGGATTTAGATGAGAACTTGATTCAAGATGAAGAAGCAAGTAGTGGTGTTGGTAGTGCAAGTACACCTATGGATGATTTGGACCTTTCACCTGTTGATGATGATGAAGAGGCTAATATAGATGACATTGATAAAGATGACTATTTAGAAGATGATTATCCTGATTGGGGCTTGCAAAATTTATTATAATAGATTAGTACTAGTTTGACTAATTATGTGTTGAACTGGATTAGAATCTATGACTTTTAAGTTATGTTTAATTAAGTTATGTGATTTAGATGTTAATTTCCTTATGTATGTTATTTTTTATGCTTATATGTATGTTTAAGTATAGTTTTACATGTTTGGTAGGATCTTACAATCTATTTTACGATCCCACAATTTACAATTTTTTACCCCCCTTCCGATCCTAAGTAAAATCCCGATCTTGACAACATTGCGTGTATCTCATGTTTATGTGTGTTTAGTGTTCATGGGTATCAGCATCCAGAAAGTTAAACTTAATTAATAGTAGCCTAGGAAATAGTCCCCAGAGTCAATAAGAAACTATATATTTAAATGATATGCAGAACCTATGTACTACACATTCTAATAAATAAGAACTTGTTTCATTCTCTAAGTTCTCCTTTTACATCAAGTCTCAACAATCTCCCCTCTAAATTCAACAGCAACAATTGAGCTCACAATTCTTACGATGAGGAAGATATGGAGGAGGACTTCTACACCTCTAGTTTTTGTAGATCTTCAACTCCCTAGTTAAATATGACTTCCTAGTTCCAAATTGATCAATGCTCGCCAAATACTGCAATGACTAGTTTTTCCTCAAATATTATTGTGATTATAATTAATTAATCATCAAAGAAGTTAATCTTGATCATTAGATCTTACCAAATTGGTCAAGAATTAACTCCTCTCACATCTTATGATCACACTGGAATCAACCCCTTATGTATGATATATAGTGTAGTAGTGCTCAAATATGGCAGTCAAATCATTTTTATCTTGCTAACTTATGCCAATGAAAACTCTAATCTAACATTATTTCATATGCAGAAACTCATCACAATCACTTGATAACCAAATATATATGCACAAATTCAACCAAACCATACCACCAAAATTTAACAAACAAGAAAGCATACCATATGCCGGGGGATTGGCAATGATTGCATCTGCTTTGAAGGGGACACCAGAATCAATATCAGGTTCTTTACAAGCTGGAAGCAGAGAGTTAATAATTTCTTTCATTTGATTTCGCTGAATAGGTATCTCAGAAGGTCCCGATGGTAGAAAGCCCTTATTTTTAACCATATCTGCTCCAAAAAGAATTCAAAAGTATAAAGTAAAATAATAGAACGTAACTGTAAAGAGGACAGTTGTAAACTTCCATGATTTGAACTTAGTTAATACTTTATTTATGACACCCATAACATGCTATATTTTTTGGATCATGTATAAGATCAATGAAGTGTGTAGTGTCAGCATTTATATTCATTCATGTATGCATAACATGTAACACTCGCATTGTATCAAAATGATAAGATGAAATATGATATGCCAAGTTCTGAATTAGGAAATTATAATTCTGCATTGGAATGTTTTTAAGCAGTTATTTTCATATTAATTTTGTATTAAGCAGTTATAGGTGAGAATGTGACAGTTACAGTAATATTTGTAAAAGGCAATTAAGGTGTCAGATTGTTATTTCTTTTGTTTTGATTTTCAAGGAGGAAACTCCTTGTCAGAAAGAGATATTATTGTGGGTGTTGTGGGGAAATCCTTTTTATGCACTCAAATCTTACCTAAAACCAGAATATTGCTATCATTTATTTAGAATTTTGGGCGTTTAGTTCTTGAGTCAAATAAAATATTTGACAGTAGGGTTAACATATTTAAAAAGCATGCCAATCTCATAATTTGCAGACAGACGTAACACCAAGCAAGACATAGGGTGACGAGAAAATAGAGAATAAATAATAACCTAAAACAATTGAGCTTCACCAAGCAACAAAGTCCAAAATCCAGGATCTAATAGGCGAAGACCAAGAAAAGCAAATAAAGTAATTATTAGACTGAGTCACTAAGGCAGATGTAGATACAGAATCAGCAGGCTTTCATTGAAGATACTCCTTACATTCGTTAACTAAAAAGATTTATTCACTTAAGGGATTCATCTCTTTCCTTTCTTAAGAGATAAAAGAACAAGAAAACATGTAAATAAATTTGTGTTCAAGGTTGTCAAAATCACATGTTGGAGCATTGAATCACACTATTCAATGCTTTTCCAATGCTGAAGCGAGTAGCACATTGGTGTGGCACAGTTTCCCTACAGGACCGGAGCAGAGTGCTGCATTGGATTTCTTACCCTCTCCTTTCTCAGTCTCCCCTAACATTCTCCTTCAAAAATGATTTTGTGTTCGTTGTTGGCTTTGCGCCTCTGCCAGCTCTGCATGTTGCATCTCCTCCTCTTCTATTGCGTTGCTTCCTTCTTTGTTAGTGTGTTGAGTATTTTGCTTCATCCTTCTTTTCCCTCCCTGTTTCTAGGTGCTGCGTGCTCTGCTTTTGCCCCCTTCCTAGTGTTGGGTGCTTTGTTTTTGGCAATGAAGATGGCAAGTGGTAACAATGATACTGTTGGGAGCATAATCGAGGTTGGTGGTTAGAGTGGGCTGATGGTAGTGGAAAATTACTGAAAAATACTCCTGCAAATAGGGATGATGTGGGGTGGAAACATGGTATTTCAGTTGATGGAGGTATAAGAAAAATTAAGTGCAAATATTGTGAGAAGGAGTTCAATGGAGGAATTTATAGGTTGAAGCAACATTCAGCTAGAACCCAAAAGGATGTTGGAGCCTGAACATTTGTTAATGATTAAGCTTGGAAGGAAATGTCAGCAATTGTATCCTCATTGCAAGAAAGTCTGATAAAGAAGTCAAGGGAATATGAAGGAAGAGAAAGTGTGGATGTTGATGATAAACAAATAACAAGAGAAAAAAGAAAAGGGGAAAAGGAAACTCCTGCAAATATTTTCAAGAAAAGAGGGGAGAGTACTCAAACTAACATCAATAGCATCTTTAAGAAGAGCTTGAGAGAAGCAGCATGCCAAGGAATTCTCTCATTTTTCTACAACAATGCTATTCCTTTCAATGTGGTGAAGAGTGAAGAATTTTAAGAAGATGCTTGAATTGGTTGCTAGACATGGTCATGGATTTCAACTACCTTCCAACCATGAAATTAGAGTCAAATATTTGAAGCAAAAGGTTGACTCTACTAAGCAAGCTTTGGAAGAACATCAAGCTTTTTGGAAGAAAACGGGATGCACCAATTTGACAGATGTGTAGACCAAAAAGAGAAGGAGGACTATACTAAACTTTTTGGTAAATAGTTCCAAAGGAACTGTTTTATTTAAGTCTATTGATGCATCTCACATCTCTAAAATGGTAGAGAAAGTGTTCAAGATGATTGATGATATTGTTGAAGAGGATGGTGAAGAAAATGTTGTCCAAATTGTCACAGACAATGCAGCAAACTACAAGGCTGCTGGAGAGAAGCTGATAGAGAAAAGGAAGAAGATCTATTAAACACCTTGTGCAGCCCATTGCATTGATCTAATCTTGGAAGATTTGGAAAAGAAGATTCCAATTCACAAAGAGACAATTGCACATGATAAAAAAATCACAACCTTCATTTACTTAAGGAGTGGTCTCATTTCTTTATTACATAACTTTATCAAAGAAATGGATCTGATCAGACTTGTTGCTATCCATTTTGTTACATGTTACTAGACTTAGGGTTGTTTGAATGACAACAAGGGAGCCTTGATAATGTAATTATTAATAAGGATGGCAATCTAATCAATTTGCAAAGGACGAGGATGGGAAGGTTGTTGAAAATGTAATTATTAATAAGTAGTTCTAGAAAAATATTGTGATTTGTTTGAAGGGCACTTATCCTTTGATCAAATTACTTCGATTAGTGGATTCAAATGAGAAGCCAACCATGGGATTTATTTATGAAGAAATGGATCAGGCTAAGGAGAAGATACAAAGTACTTTCAATGGTGTTAAAAAGAGATAAATTATATTCTAGAAGTTCAAGTTTAATTTTAAAGTCACTTTTTGATAACTAATTAATTTTTTTTCACTCTTTAGTTAAAAGCCAATACATGGTAGTCCATCCTAGATAGCAACATGGAGCAGCTGACTCCAAAAATGCTATAGAGGGATAACAGATACAAGATGCCTGCTATTTTAGGCATTTTAAATATATCTAATATAAATTGAGCAATACAAATATATATATATATATGCTGAAAAATACAAAATTAAGACCCAATCTATATCCAAATTATATACAACAGAGCCGGAAAATCAAGAGAGAAGGAAATCAAAAACAGAGAAGGAAAATAGAAAATAGAGAATGTTCAGTCACAGGAAAATGTGCAGGGTTGTCGAAAAGTTCCCCGGAGATAAAGATAAACGGAAAATGTCTGGGTCAAGTCAGAATCTTCCCTGGAGTTGAAGAAGACAACCGGAGATGAAGAAGATGGCTAAAAACCGTTATTCACCAAAGATGAAGATGACTAGAGAACGTCTTTGTTGCGTCAGAAGCCTTGCCGGAGATGAAGGACATCAGAAGCAGTGGAATCGCAGAGAATAGAGATGAAAAACATAATGAAGGAGAATTAAGGGGAGAACTGAGAGATGAGAATGAAAGGGCTTAGGGCTCACAAGGGAGGGAGGGAGAAGAAGATACTAGAAAGTAAGGGGACATGAAATCCCAAGATTGCCTCCCTTAAAAGTCGTTGAACATTCAGAAACAAAGGGCAAAGTCAAAATTTCATCATGGATGGGATAGCAGCCACAATTTCCCTTGTTTTATGTGGTGATTTATGTGCGCAACAGTCGCTTCTTTGAAACACGACATGACTGTGTCTCCATAGCGCAGCCCTTCTGCTCCACCGCAATAGCGGCTTCTGTGGCCGCTATTGACTACTATGAGCCAATATTGGATATCATTGATGAGAGATGGTACATCCAATTACATAGGCCTTTGCATTCTGTAGGTTATTATCTTAATCCGATTTTGCACTTTAGTCCCAACTTTAAAGCTGATTTTGAGGTGAAACATGGACTTTATGATTGTCTACAAAGGATGGTTGGAGATATTGAAGAAATAAGTAAGATTGATTTTCAGCTAGAATATTTTAAAAGTAAATAAAAGTTTTTTGATAGTCATGTAACTATTGCTGCACTTAAAACAAAAACGTCAGCCCAATGTTGGAAATCTTATGGCAATCAACATCCAGAGCTACAGCAGTTAGCTATTCATGATTAAGCTTGACATGCAGCTCCTTTGATTGTGAATGCAATTAGAGTGCATTTCAGATGGTAAAAATTTAAATTTATAATGTATTTCATTCTTAAAATTCTTTAGACATTTATTAGGTGTTAATTGATTTACTTTTTATTTAGGTCCACACCAAGACAAGAAACAGTTTGAAGCAGAAGACAACTATGTTTGTCTTTTTGATGAACAACACTAAATTGGGCAAGAGAAAGCAAGCAAGGAGAGAAAATGAGTATGATGTAGAAGATCTTTCCTCTAATGATGATTAGATAGTGGAGAATGCTGAAAATTCAGATTTGGACATGGATATGGATTTAGATATTTCAACAGAAGAAGAATTGCTTTCAATGGAAAAAAATGATGATGATGTTGGCTTGGCATCTCTTAATGATTTGGAGATTCCTAATTTAGAAGAGCTTGACATTGGTGAAGGTGGAGATATTATGGAAAATGATGAAGATGAAGACAACATGGATGATGATTATTGTGATCAAAATTTGAATGATTTGTTAGATGTTTAAAATTTTTAAGTGTTGGACTATTTCTTTTATGCTTTAGTTTTATGATGTGTTGCTTTTGTTTTGGTAAAAACTTATGTGACTTCATAACATTTGAGTTGTTAGAAGACCTTAGGAATCTTTGTTGAAGTTTACTTAAATGTTTGATGAGATTTAATATTTTTTATTCACAAAGATATGTATTTAAATATATGTTTGCATTTTAGTTGTCTCGTATGAGCATGTTACGCTCCAACCTTGACTCTCAATTTTGACAACCTTGATAAAGGTGAGTATTGTAAGTTATATATAGAGTATTCTAACCATATTCCAAACCAAAGTGGAAGTGGATCATCTTAACATTTATTGATGTTTGGTTCAGCTTAATTTAATAAAACAATCACTTCATGCAGCTTTGTGAAAGCTTTTGAAAAACAAGTGATTATTTTCCTAAAAAAAGCTCTTCCAAAAATGCACTTATTTATTCCAAGGTTTAAGAATAAATCAAATGAATACAACTTCCAAATACTTATTCTTATGAATACAAAATGCATTTTAACATGTGATACACTAATTGCACATAATTCAAACAATTCTTGGAGGTTGCTTGTCCATTTTGTCCCATCTATCAATTTAATTGAAAGTAAGGAAAAGAAGATGAAGACATGGTATAATTGGATGCAAAATGACTAAATTAGCCACAAACCATCACATTGATAAGAACTGCTTGACCTAAATCTCTAAGTTGGAGATTAGGCATAGTGGCTTATATATCTTACACAAATATTAACAAAATTTCATGCATTTTGTATCAAAATAATAATAATAATAATAAGAGTAAATACACAAATTAGTCCCTGAAAGTGATAACTTTGTTTACTTTTGATCCTTGGAAGTTTCGCTTTGAATTATTTGGTTCGCAAATGTGTTAACTTACTCACATATTAGTATTTTTTTAGAACTAATTAGTTGCCAAAAGTGGTAGTATGTACAATTAAGTCCTGAATATGTTCATTTTGCTTACTCTCATTTTGCATACGTTTTTTACTTTTTGTGAGAAGAGGACCAAAATATAAGTGCATTCAGAGAAATTGTACAAAGCAAATCTTTAAGGGACCAAAGATAAATAAGATGTCAATTTCAAGGATCAAATTGTATAATAATAATAATAATAATAACAACAAATACATAAATCCAGTACTGCTAGTTAAAATGTTCTGGACATAATTTAAGCCATGTCCCATGAAACTAATTCCCATATATTATTTTGTGAAGGTCTAACAGAAAAGACTCAAATAATTCCAACTTAAGTTTAAAATGCATATATAGCTAAAAATACATAACATGCACACAGACATAGAGTAATGCAACCCCCCCCCCCCCCAAGAAGAAAAAATGGTTAAAAGTCCAAACATGCATTCTATATCAAAATGCACCAAAACCAAGGGATTATGGGACAAGAAATTAAGATAATGAAGAATAAGACAACTCAGACACTAGAAGAAGATATTTGTAGATGGGTTAAGTAGTACATACAACCAGCAAGTACTTTTGGATCACCGCCTAAAGGATAAAACTCCAACCCAGCTGTCAAAACAAACTCCTTGAAATTTGAATGGGTAGCCAATCTAACACGATGGCCATAGTCCTGCACATAAAGAATACAAAGGGGAAAAAACTCAGCTTTGAAAACTAAAAAACTTATTAACATAACTTCAAATTTCAGTCCATATAAATTTCCTCTTATGATAACCAAACTAAACAGTGTTTTAACTCAATGTTATTTCCAATAGAAAATAGAAAGTTGATATTAGTAAGAACTTTTGCATTATGAAAATATGGGAAAGCACAAAGAAACTAATATGGTAGAAAATTACAACAGTAAAAACGTCAGAGACAGGTGAAAGTGTAGTAACAAACAAGGAATCACATGTATGCAACTATGCATACTGTCAAGCATCAAATTTTCCAATTGCTTAAACTATTTAGGGGACGACTCATGAATGGTTGTATATCTAAAATGTCCCCTTCACACAAGTACTCTATGTTTAACGCATGGTGCATGGCCATTGCACTAGCCAAGTTCTGCAGTTCTCACAAGGATCACATGTGTGCATAAGTACAAGGATCAAACTCCTAACCAATTGGTACCACCTCTTACAAAAGCTTAAGTTCTTAAGGTGGAGAGTCATGAATGGTTCTTATTTATAAGATAAGCATAAGATATGGAAAATATAGACATAATAAAATGTTGTCATATATACAATCATTTGCCTACCTTAACAAAAGCCACAAATGTCCACATATGTGCTTGTTTGTGTTTATTGGAGCAAGCAAAGAGAAAATTGGGACATAAGGAAATGCCTCTATACCTGTAAGCGTTTGCCTATTGCAACAAATGGCTGCACATCTCCTCGTGTACCAACAATAAGCATGACTATATTCAGTGGTGGGATGTAATGAAAGTCTGTTGCATCAAGTGATTCATCAACGACATGATTTATTTGTTTGGATTGAGCACCAAGAGCTTCAGGTTCAACATCTCCAGGAACTTCAAATTCTACAGTTCCATCATCTTTTACAGTAGCTATTCTGTTCAACAATTTAAGCTGCACAGTTGTAAAAATCAACTGAAGTACCAACCATATGTGATTATAAACAAAAATAAAGATAGTGATAATGATAATGGAAAAAAACAAAAGAGAAAAAAAAGCACGGTTGAATGTGATACAGAAACCATGACCAAATCCTATTTAAAAAGGCAAAATAAATTAGGTCAATCTGAGCGTATTGTTTCCACCTTTTACAAGTTGTTGCTCTTGCTCTTCTTTCCTTGATAACTAAGAAAAAGAAAAATTAGGGGAGAATTATTAAAAGAAATTATTTCTTAATTTTCCAAATTGTTTTTAATGCAACCTGTACAAAAGAACAAAAAACACTTTCTATTTACAACCAATTTAAATTATAAAAGTGTCTAATTAGTGCTGCTTACTGGTTACTGTGGATCAAAAAGCCCCATAACATATAATCACCATGTCTCCCATATAAATTATATTAATAAATCAGGAATGATATTTTCTTTCAATAGGTAAGCAACATCTTGAACATGTAGCAGAAACAACAGAAGGGGGTATTCAACAAAAAATATGAACATTTATATGATCACCCTTTTTGTCATAGTTTTAGGGTATCATTCATACACACATGCATCGACAAGCGTGTGGGTGCACATGTTTGGGGGCTTGCATGCAAGTGCACACATGTAATCAAACAATAGTAGTATAAGACTAATTTAGTCTATTAATAAAATTACAAGATTTAACACTAAGTTTTAACAAGTAGATATTGAGCAATTGCAATGCATTACCAAATTATTAAATTTTTAAATAATAGTTAATAGTTTGTTTCAGAATATACCCAAACAAACATTGAAAATGCACATACAATCTAAAACAAAGATATATAAAGATAGCTTAAATAAGCTTTTCATTCCTATAAAAGTTGTTGATTTGGAATTGGTTCCTAAACAAATTCTTAGGATTTAGTCCCTAACAAATTAAGCAGCTAAAAAATTGGTCTTTGTCATTAATTTGCATTAGTTAAGTGCAGAGGTTGCTAAAAAAAGTTCCAACTCAGTGTTGTCACATATCAAACAAGTGGCATAGCTTTATCCTGGTAAGCACACAGTATTTAAAAATACTTTAAAATAGAGACAAAAATAAGTTCTTATTCCTGATAAAAGAAGTTGTGTTTGAAACTCTCATACCAGAGATTCTTGTACTGTTTGTACTGTCATATTGCACACAGTCATTACAGTCATATTTGCACATGGTCATTAGAGTTTATGGTTCATATCGCTAGTAACAATTGTGTACTGATTGATTAAAATAAGGTTATGTTGAGTACTTGACATATGGCAATGCTAAGTTGAAACTCCGATAATGACAACTAGGACGCTGCAAAGATGGCTGCCAAGCTTGATAATATGCTCATGGTGTTTACACTCCATGGCCTTCACAAGGATCAGAGCCTAACAAATCCCACTGTTCTAGAAACCTGGAATCTTTATTAGGAAGAATGGGGCAATAACTCTACATTTCGTAGACAGAACACACACACTGCAAAACTTTGAGGCTTTGCAGGCCCCAATTGCTGAAAGGCCCAAATTTCCTCTCACAAATGACAAGAGGCCGCTCTCTTAACCTACCTGCTTATTTATAGGCAACATGTCTTATTTCTGCTAATTATCCCAGCCCAACTAACTAACTACCTAACTGACAGTTACTAACAGATGTCACCCATTTTCCTCCCCTCTTTTTCCTTACCAAATATCCCATTCAAACAATGCCAAAGTGTTTCTTTTTTTCTTGAGAGCACAAAAGTTTTTTTCTTTTAACCCAAAAACAATAAAAATATATTTATCAACTACTGGAGAACCAATGCCACCACATAAATACACTGCCTCTAGAAAAATGGGGAGAAAGGAATGGCAAAAAAACATAATAAAGCACAATAATGTACCTTCTCCTGGACAGGAAGCTTATCATCAAAAATTTGTGCTGCATCTTCAGGACTTAGATGTCTCAACCTCTCTGTTTTCGACCTTTCCATCTTAAACTTACTTGGACTTGACTCCAATTTATCTCCATGTGATATGTCTGCCGGCAGTGTGGCCACCTTAGACAACTCCTTGCCAGGAATGCCTAAATGGGGGGAGAAAAGAAGACCATCATAGATATAGTTCAAATTTCAAACATCAGCATATAAAATTTAACAATACTAAGTTATAAAAGGAGATTCAGGAAAAGGAAATGTACGATATCAAAATGCTAAGAGATCCTTGGCACAGTCAACTTTGTGAAGTCAACTCCTTTGTTGGATTCACATTGACAATCTTCATTCACTAAATGTATTTTTCTGGTATCTCTAATTTCTGTTTTCATTGGTTTTCTTAGGATGATAACTCTTATCCTGTAACTCTTTCTTTCTCTTCTATAAACATTTTTTTCTTATAGAGACACAGAGAGGGAGAAAGCACAGAATAACATGAATGAGTGACAACACCAAACAAGTTTTTGTTGCAGAAGAAATATCAATATCAGAGAAGACCACATTTATAATTATGTCAAATATGATAAAAGTTTCCAAATTCCATGATACCATTGTAATGAAAAAGGATAAAAAGTAAACATAAGAATCAAACGGGCAGCTGTTTGTCTCAATAATTTCCTTCTGATACAACTTAATGGTTGTTTCGCTATCAATATAACAGCCATGCTACATTTCCTTAGTCTACTATATTTCTCGTGTTAGAAATGATACATTGGATATTTGGAAGACTTGAAAGTTTGTTGAAATCCGTTTTTTTACATAGGAAGCAATGAAGAAAGATCCCAAAACCTCAGGCTGTTTGCTATTTCCCTCTTGCAGATTTGGTGTATCAGTAGCCATGCCACACTAGTAAATTATAATATCTTTAGATTTAGATATTAAACTGGGTTTCAGTGCTGGTTCAATTTTCTCTGTTTTGCTGCATTGAAAATGTCCTCATGTGGGGCTGGGGCTAGTGGTAAGCATAGGTGCATGGACAGTTGCTGTTAGCAGCAGCTTTGGTGTTGTCAGGGTTCAAAGATAAAATCAAGATAAGCATTGAAGAAAACGATAGTTTTATTTATCACTAGAAAGAATTAGGATTACAATAGAATCCCCCAGAGGTAACAGCTGCTGATCAGAGAATGAAATTCTCCCCAAAACAACCAACAAAATCAATAATTCCTCAATAAATAAACTGTAAATGCCCCACACTAGGAATCGAATCAGAATACTTCTTATAAGCGTTTGAGTAGTTCTCCTTCTACGAGCTAGATTTTGGGAGTGAATTAGGCCCAAATTTCTTAATATATGTTCCTCTCTGACAGTTCTAACAAGTGCTGCTGCCATGCAAAATGGGGTATTGCTTGGTGGAGGATTGCTCAACGTCATCTAAAACCTACTTTCTTCCTTTGGTTATATTAAAAATAAAGACCACCTTATTGATGCCCTACTTTAGGAAATAACTTTGTTTAGGCTGTATTTAAAAGACCTTGCAGTAATTTTAAATGAAAGAATAAATAGCAGTAAGCTGACATATTAGAATAGATAGAAATATCTAAAAATACCTGACCATTACATTAGTACGTAACTAAATATATGTCATTCAATTGATACCTCTAACAGACAAATATGGCTTATCCACCAACTTCACTTTCCCTAAACTATATTCCGATGAAGGTCACCACACCATGTCTCGCCGCCACCTAAAATTATCGCATAATTTACACAACACACGACGTTATGAGATCAAAAAAATTACTAGCCCCACATCCAATGAGATTCCAAACGATTTGATTTCCGGTCCCTCTATTTCGCAAACAAAGACACTCAGAACGTCAAACAGTTCAACTTTCAAGGAAAAGGAGAATCTCGCGATTCCACTTTCACAAAAACAGAACTCCTTAACTTAATTATCGTATTGTTTCTACTTCTCTTTCTCTAGTTCGATTAACGATTGCTTAACCTACCAAAACAGGAGCAGAATAGAAGAATGAAAGAAAATTACCGATCGAACGGGAGAGATTTGTAGTAACTAACCTGAGGTTGAAGAAGTACTCGTACCATTGGCCACAGAGCATGTACTATCCTCCACTCTGACCGAGAGATCGCTCGAACTGGAAGAAGATTGCCGGCGAACTTCCGGCAAGTCCGCCATTGCCGGTGACCTAGATCCGCTGCAAGCAAGCACCGCTTCGGAAATGGTGGCGAAGAAGGTGCTAAGGCTTTCTATATTGTGGGGTTAACAAGTGTCTGTCAATCCATTATAAAATTCGAACCCGACCCTGCGTTTTTACGTGGAGGGGACACGTGTGAGTGAGTGGGTAGGGGTATGATGCGACGAATATTTTACCTTTTTTTTTTTTTTTAGGACCCGACTTTACAGGCTGCGGCACTTTATTCCATTTGATAATTTTCGGACAAATTGCGCAGAAAAGAGAAACAGGTCTATGTTACGTGGAAAAAGAATCTAGATAATCGATTTGTACAAAATTTAAGGGAACACTGTAGATATTGGTGTTATTTAAGAATTTTATTTAGTTTTTACTTATGTAAACATGTTAGCATTAAAAATCGATATATACTAGAAAATATGCTTGTGCAACGCACGGTTATTTTTTTATTAAATTAATTTATTTTAAAATATATAATTTAAATATAAAAATATAATAAAATTAATTTATCAAAATAAATTATTATTTAAAATATATATAATTTAATATTTTTTCGAATAAAATAAAATAATATACAAATATTTTATTTTAAAAATGTAAAAATAAAATTTATATTATTTTATGATATCATAAATTCTTTATTATTATAAAATTTTAAATATATAATTATAATAATAAATTATTAAATATAATAAATTTTTAATATAAGTTATAAAATTTAAATAAAAAATTTATAATTTTTTATTTATATATTTGTTGAATTAAATTTATTTGATAAATTATTTATTTATAATTATAATTTCAAATTATTAATAAAAATTTACTATATAATTATTAAAACATGATATCATATTTTTTTAAAAATAACTTATCAAATTAATATATAAAAATAAAATATTTATTCAACTAATATATAATTTTAAAAATTTACTTTAAATATCAATATACACAAAACTATATATTAATATTTAAAAATAAAAATATATTAAAATTTTTATATGTAAATAAAATTATCATACAAAAATATTGTAAATAAAATTTAATAATAATGTAATATATATACTGAATTTAAAAATTTACTTTTTAATAAAAAAATATAGAATTGAGTTTTTTTTAAATGATTAAATTATTTTATATTTTTTTATAACTTAATAGAATTAATATTGATTGATATTATAAATTAATTAATTTTATTTAATAACTAATTAAGTATAATAAAATTATGTTATTTGGGTCATAAAATTTAAATAATAAATTTATTAATTTTTATATAATTATTTTTTAATTTTTAAAAATAATTAATACAAAAAAGAATCAAAATGAATATTTTAATTAGATTAGTTTACTTTTACTCAATTCATGAGTTGTTCAATAAATCGGTTCATTTGGAATCACAGGATAAGTAGATGTTACAAATGATGAATTGATTTTTTTTATTATGTCACTATATTTATTTTTGTTTGTCTATAATAATTGATTGAAAAATCTCAAATTTTCAATTGTATCTTTTCAGGAATATTTTGATTTATCTTCTTTTTTTCCTCTCAAAAATAGAAACTTAGGGAAGTGCTTTATAAACATATATATAAAAAGAACATATTTCATTTAGCTTCTTTATGCCCACTATAACTAGTTATTTCAGTTTTTTACTAGCGGTTTTAACTATAACCTCAGCTCTATTTATTAGTTTGAATAAGATACGATTTATTTGATTTAAAATTACTTGAAATTTCCTAAGTTTTGGCCGCAGGGAAAAGCGGAAGAAGCTACGGCTAGATTATTTATAATTTTAATTAAGAATTAATAAAAATAAATATATCTATAAACTAGTTTAATAATAAAATAATATTTTAAACATTTTATTAAAATAATAAATATTAATTTAAATAAATTTTAAAATATTATATAAAAGAAAACATATAGATTGAACTAAAATAAGTAAAAATATATATATTATTATTAGGTTTCTAATTATTTTAAAGATATATAAATATAATTTTAATATAAATATATTAAAATATTATATCATCATTAAAAATAATAGATGAGTTCTAACTATTTTGACGCGGATATGATGGATTAGAAATTTGATTTTTATATTTAGATATATTATATCGTCATTAAAAATATTCAGTGAACTTGATTTAACTTTTTAAAATAAAATGTATAATTTTAAGAATATAACATAATAAATAATTATATTAATAAAAAATATTTATATTGATTTCATATTTTTATGTATAATATTTGTATTTTAATTTATATTTGAAAATTAATTATAAGTTCACAAAATGACTAAATTTTTCCACTAGGAAACACTCTTCTTTGCATTTATAATTGAATGCTATCATAAAAAATTTTAAAAGCATTAGAATTTATATTCCAATATGAAAATTTTAATTAATTATATAGTTAAAATATAAAATTTTAATAAATAAATATAATTTGATATGTTAATATAAAAAATATTTTTATAACATTTTAAATACTAATTTTTATCTTTCTTAAAATTAAAGTATTTCAATAGTTATAAAGATTTAGATTTCATACTTATAAAATTTTAAAACAAATAATATATATAAAGAAATTCAGTATAACATTTGAATTTAATTCAAAGTTAAAACATTATATTTTCTTTACTTATTCATTCATTACGATATAAAATTATTAAATATAGAACATAACGGTTAAATCATATTTATTTTCATTGTTATGATATTTAATAATTTTTAATTTATTTTAATTATTATAATTAATTAGTTTTAATTAGAGAATTTTAAATTTATCATCATCATTATAGCATTTTATAAAAAAATCATTGCAACAAAATTATTAAGTATAAATATTGTCAATTTTTTAATTTAAAAAACAAAATTGGTCATCATAGTTATTATAATATAAAATAAAATAAAATATTGTCTATGTTAATAGGTTATACATAATTATGATATATCAATTGCTATTAAATTATTTTCTAAAAAAATCAAAATAATAAAAAAGAAAATAATAAAAAAAATTTAATTAAAATTTAAGTAGAAACTAAAAGAGAAGAATTGTTATATTTAATATAAAAATTAATCTTTATATTAATTAAATTTATAGATATTGATATAATATAAAATTTATGAATCACATATAAGATTTGTCTAAGAATAAAGTCAATACATAATATATATAATAATAAAGTAAGAAAAATATATATAATAAAATAACAAAATTATTTTATAAAAGACTTAAATATTTGATGACATTTTACTTTTCAGATTCTACACAATATTAAAAGTATTTATACAATACTGTAATAAAAAAATTTTAATGTTTTAAATCTTCTATTATTGCTTTTTGTTCATCATTTTTTACTTTGCTTCCTCAAGTTACAACCTAAAAGAAAATATCAAATATAAATTACTAATCTAAGAAATTTGAACAATACATTATAAATTTATAATTTATAAATTAATTTCTTCATTCTTTTTGATAAATTTGGTGTTTCCATGGTTAGAAATATAGGTGAACAACTTATTGCCAAATCATTTTCTTTTATTTTTGCATTTGGATTATCTAAACCTTCTTATTTCTCAATTTGTAAATATCAAATAATGAAAATAAAGTTATTCATCATTGTATTATAACCATTATAAATGAAAGTAATAAAACTCCAATTTAAATTTCTATATTACCTTCACTATGGGTTTCATAATTTTATTCACACTGAAACTTTATCTAACACGACTTTCAAAGTAAGTACTCATTTTTATTTGAACAATATGTGAAGTGCCAATAGTCTTTAAAAGTTGTGAAGGCAACTTTAACACTTTATCATCACCTTTAAAAAAAGCATCACATAAAAATAGTTACATGTTTTAATATATTTTATTTATATAATCAATTATTTGATTAGATTTTTTAGGAAGTTATAAATTAACACATTTGCTTACAATTTCAAATGTTGCAATAAGATCTTTTAACTTATGCTAATTGTTCAACAACTTTATCAAATAAGACAAATATAGTTGAATTTATGGAATCTTTAATATCAAGCTCAAGACAAAACATGTAATGTATATAAATTAAGGTCATAATATATAATTTAATTTATTTTAATATGAAAATTTAAAAATTAAAATATATAGTGATAAATTAATTACCTTGTCATTGGATACTCAATATCTTTATAACATGATTCACATTTAAAATTTGTAGTTGTGAAAGAAACTTTCTTCTTGCAATGGGGGCAAGAAATATAATACCAATCATTTTTAAGCATTACATCATTCACAGTTGTAATACAACTAATTACGGCATTCTGAAAATTAATTAAAAAATTAGTTTAAAAATTAAATAAGAAGAACAAAGTATAAGAGAGATTAAATTTATATTGTCAAGATTTCATATATGTTTTTAAAATTTTCTAACTTAGAAAGAATAGTAGATCTTGTATCATCAAAATTGTGAGCAATATGCATATCATTAAAATCCCTTCAACAAAGTGATAATGAATTTTTGAAAATATGGTTAAAATAAAAAATAAAGAATTAGCAATAATTAACGTAACAAAGAGACAAAGAGATTTTAAATAATTTCAATACCTGAATAAATTTATAAAATGAGTAACTTTTGGTATGTCAATATTGACATAATTCTTTGTTGATCTTGATGTGAAAATATAAATATTACCTATAATACATACACTCATATTTTTTATAATTAAATATCACATATATTCGCACTTTTATTTTCTATTCTTCTGTTGTTGAATTTAGATCGTTAAAAAAAGTCCATTTATCTTTGTTGGAACTTGTTGTTCTTCTACAACATCATAGAAAACATAAAAGTAAATAATTACTTGAGATGAATATAAGAAAATAATAAGAGATTTGATACAAATTAATCAATTAAAAATAAGATTCAACACATTATATTATTTTAAAATAATATGACTCTATGCTTACTAAAAAAATAAATTAAAATATATAACATAATTTAGTGAAACAAAATAAAAAATATCAAACTTAAAAATACATATGCTTACATGGATAGGACATAGTTACAAAATACAAAGAAAAAATATGACAACAAAAAAAAGTAAACAAATTTTTAAAAATTGTGTAAATATGACTTATATAAGTACAGAAAAAG